TCTTTGCTGACTCAGTCAGAACCTGATTCCCAAGCTGCTTGGGGAACTGCGATGAAAGCCTTTTCAATAAAAGCGTTTTTGGGCTGTAGGGTCCACTCCCCAATTCCAAAAAGGGCACGTGCAGAAGCCAAACAAGTCCATCGTGTTTCAGGTGGCAGGCAGTTCCAGCACACGCTGCCACCTGAAAATGCTTTCCTTCCCAGTTCCCCGGTGCACATCGCAGAGCCACGCACCCTCCTCCTCTACAGACTCGCCGCCTGTTTTCTCCTGGCCAGAACCGTCGGCTGGGGAAGGCAGGGAGAAAAGTGAGAGGGCAGCACAGTCGGGCAAAGGCGCAGAAGCCGGGCGCAGACACAGGGCAGGCAGATTAGAGGCAGCTGACCGATTGGCGGCTTGGCTGCTGACCACCCAGAGTGCGCAAGCAGCAAAGGAAATCCGTGTTGTGGCTCTATTAAGATGCACATTTCACAGCGGGGTACAATTTGGGGGTGGCAGGTGGGGCAGGGAATGGGGTGCCCTGGCAGCCATTTCTTAGAGCCCACGCCCTTAAGTGTCGCTGCCAGTGACCATGGTTTCATGCCCCCTCTCTCAGATAACAGCCGACAGGAGAGGAGAGGCAGCGCACCAGGTGAAGTTTCACCACCCTGGGGAGTGGTGAGTCCAGCAGCGCCTGGGGCACTTATTCGCCACTGGCAGGTATGCTGGGCACCTCATCCCCTGCACCACCTGCCAACCCCAAATTGTGCCCCACCACGAATGGGGTGCCCGGCATGTTTTACCTGTCCTGACGAATGCTGCATTTCTACTGTAATTGTCATCCAATTAAAGAAGGTGTGCATTTTATTTTTTTATTGCCAGGCTAAAAGTCCCACCTTCAATCCAGGGCATCTCCAATTTAAAAACATCTCCCTTACTGGAGAAGGTTTGGATTCTAATCTCCTAAAAAACAAAGGTTGACTAGCTCAGTATGACAAGCTGTTAGGTCCGTTGGCTGTTTTATTCGAATATGTCCCATTCTACTTCATGCCACAATTATTTCCTGTTTACTCACTAGATTTGGTGACCGATGAAATCATCGATGATATACTGTGTGTCAAGAGAGCTGTAGCAGGTCCAGATGGTATGGAAGCTTGGTAAGGAGTTAAATTTATCTTTCATCGGCTTTGCCTATCTCCTTCACCGAGCCATCCAGTCACACATCGAATACAATTTGAGCTTTTTCCCCATTTATAGTTTATAGTTTATAGTTTATTTATTTGTATGCCACCCTTTTCCCTGAGGGGACTCAGGGCGGCTCACAAGTTAAGGGAAGGGGAAGACAAAACAGTTATGAACATAAAACAATACATTGTATATTCTGATAGGGCATCTCTCCAGCAGCGTGACGGAGCAAAAGGGGCAGTTAGTCGCTGAAGTCAGCAGATATTTATTTAAAATATTTATGCCACACACTCCCTTAATGGCTCCGGGCAGCCGATGAAGATACCATAAAAACATCTATAAAATCAGCATTAAAAGGACGACCAATCTAAAAGACAAAATTAAAGTGGT